CCAGGTGCTGCTGAGGACCATCGGCTCTTGCAGCCCAAATCTGCCCAAAACCCCTCCACCCTGGCTAACCAGCTGCAGGGGATTCACACTGTGATTCGTTTCTCTCTCACGTCACCTGAGCTTCGGCTCCCTGGCCTTCAAGGCTGACCGGTTTTACGAGCAGAAACCACAGCAGGCATCGCTCTCTTGTTAAATCTGCACTTTACGGCTGATCAGCAGTATCTCTGACAGTATGTACCCAGGAATGAAAGTTTCCAGCCAAGTTACCAAGCCCCTGCAAAGCAAAAGCAGTTTATAAAAACCCCAGCCATCCTTTTGGGGCACAGCCACCTCAGAGCCCTGTGCCAAAGGGGGACAGGGCTGCTCACCCGCAGACCACCGCTCCCCATCAAGGTGGTTTTTGTGGGAAGACAGGAAATCCTTGGCCACAAAACACAAGGAGACTTTTTGGGGTACCGATAAGGAGCAATCAACAGCAAAACGGGCCCTGGTGGTGGCACAGCAGCCTCTGTGCTAAGCCAGCCCTGTCCCCGCATCCCCCCAGCTGAGGAGTCCTGGCAGCAACAAGCCTCTCCTGGAGGAAAACTGGCCCTGCTTGAAGATTCACTCAGCTTTTGCAATTAATTAAGGTGCCATCACACACCAGCAACTTGCATGGTTTATAAATCCACCTTCCCTCACTTCTCTGGCCCTTCTCTCCATGGCTGTCTCAGCCAGTCCCTGCCCACCCGAGTGCTGCCCCTAAATGAGGGCTCTTCACCCGTCGAGTGAGAGCCCGTCCCCACGCTGAGGAGAGAGATTTGTCTTTCTCTCAGTTCTGCAGAATCGGGTGCCAGGCATTTAGCAACAGCCAGCACACCTCTCATTTCAAACTACCCAATATTTGTAACGATAAAACACAACGGACTGGTCAATAATAATTAATGCACCTCTCCTAACCATACATATGCATCTAAGCTCATGTTTAAAACATTTATGGAGGTTATGTGATTAGCATGCTAATTATTGACAAAATTGTGAATGTGTGTTTTAGGGTTATAATCACCCAAGGTTAGTTTGGCATACAACTCTTGGCTCAAATTTGGTCCAGAAGTTATATTTTTGCTATCTTATCTCTAAGCCAGCAACTCGGATCATGTCAGACACATTGTTTTGTTTCACATCCTATTCAAGGTTAGGTACGTTCCTTGATGCCTCAACCATGTCCCAGCCAAAACTTCTTAATAAACTTTTGACTTTGTTCTTCCCACATCACGAGGGACAGCTCGGCTCAGCTGTGCCCAGGAGGAGATACATTTCCCAGCAGGTTTGTCCCCACTGGCTCCCTCCATCTCACTCATTCCCTGGCAGCAGCAGGGAGCAGCTGGTGTGAGGTGGGATGGGACCTCCCCCTGCAGAACAGGAGGAACATCTCAGTTAAACCAATATCCGCTGGGACACACACTGCACGGCGCCAAATCCTGCTTGCCTTCCTCATGCCCTGCTGCTCCGTCTCTCCCTGCAGCACAGGTTTGGGATGCACCAAAGCTGGGGCTTTAATGCTAACACCACCACATAGATCATTTATCATATGTTTTTGTGGTTTGGAGCCTTTTTTGGTGATGGACCTCACAGCCACAACCAGTAAATATCTATAATTTACTCACTGAGCTGCTGGAAGCCTATTTTTTTGGCCCTGAGATATTTTTATTCCCTGTCAAAGAGAACCACTCTGCAGCATCCTTGCCCCAGGGTGGGAGCCGCTCTGCTAGGCAGGCAATTAAAACCAAGGGAAACCAGGGTGGGGGGAAGAAGATGGACAAGAAAAAGCTCACCATTCAGCTGTGCAGGCCTTATCCTCCCAGTTATTTTTAGGGGAAAAAAATCTTACCGAATTAATAGAGGAAAGGACAGCTCTCAGCCCAGCCCATCATCATCCCCAGGAAAATCATTGCCAGACAATCCAGCAAGCTGCTGACAGCACAGCACTTGTCTTCCCAGCACCCTTCCCAGGACATCCAGCAACGTATTGCAGGAAAAAAGGAATAGTAATAGTAGGGGAAAAAGAAGGAATCAAAAGACACCCAAGGTGCCGGCAGGCTCATCTCTCCTGCCTGCCATGCCAGCGCCACTCTGCCCAGGGCTGGGGGCAATGTTTTCTCAGACCAAGAAATGAGTTATCAGAGGGTAGGGGCATTTGTCACCAAGAAACACTTATTTTTGTTCACTCCCAGACTACATCACACACTGTTCACGCTTACCCGACTTTCACGTGTTACAATGGAAGATGTTCAGCTCCTAAAAATCTCAGAGACATAAAAGGATCTTCCACACCAGTCGCTTGCAAGGGGTGTGCAGGAGAGGTGTGGGAGTCCTGCTGCTGCCAGGTTTCCCACTGCCTCCACCATACGGCAAGGCAGGACGAAGAACTTCAAGGTAACAGGGGAGTTAAGGGTTATGGGACAACAAGTACAGAAAAATAAAATAAAAAACTTCAGCTTGAAGCGCTGTAGCTCCTCCTGGCCACCCAAAGCCCGGGACCCTCTGTGCCAAGGAAAAGGGCACGTCCAATCTTCCACCAAACACTGACCTTGCCAGATCCACTGAAAGTTCATTAGGGAGGTGAAAACGCCTGTTGTTTTCTGAATTTTATTTGATTACTGTGAAACAGAAGACACTAGCAAGGAGAGAAGGTTGTTTTTTAAGTAAGGATCCTGGAGCCTGGGGAGAAAGCTGAGGGGATTTCAAAACAAAGCCACTGTTAAGTTTGGTCCCGACTTCTAGGTCACGTATGTTCAGTTCTTTTTACCTGGAAATGAAGATGTTAATTGGAGCTGACAGCTTTCATAGGTTTCCCCATTAGCAATATTTTTAGTCACAGTAGGGCCCAAGTCTTCAAACGCTTTCCCAAGGGAAGGATTTAACCTTTCTTTTGAAGCATCTCATGCCACTTGCAGGAAAAAAAAAAGAGAGGTTTTTGCTCGAGGCCTGCTGAGCCCCAGCCATGAGGAATCCCGGCTCCTCTGAGCAGGGGACACGGGAGGAGCAGGGAAAAGAAACTGAGGAGAGGCAACCTGTATCCCAGAGCAGAGCTTGTGACTGTGCGGCAGCATCGCCCAGCGGGGCACCCACCCTCCAGCCCCCCGACCCTCCCCGTCTGGGTGATGGGCTCTGGGCACAGCCAAGCCCAAGGATGATCTCCAAGGTGTGCTGGCTCCTGTCCCCCATGGTGCAGTTGATCTCCAGCATGGTGACGGGACCACACCACAGGAGCCAGACACATGTCCCATGCCACGCAGCTGCCCAACGCTACTGTCCTTGTGCCAGCAGCAAGCACAGGACCCATCCATGGATGGCTTCTAGGGCAGGAATTAAAATGGTTCCAAAAGCTCTTTTTCTGCCACAGATCAGATCCTACACATCAACATTTTCTTAGCTTGTTGGATATAAGAACTTTTTTTATTTTAATAGCTGGTTTCTTTGCATAGGGTTACCATCTGTATGTAATTTCTTGTTTTCAGATGAAGCAAAAGCCTCAAGAATCCCCATTCAACACTGTCTCTTGCCCAGGACTGAAAATTATGCAACTTGCTTAGTTTCCATGTAAGTACGAATAGTGTATATTAATAAAAAATTCATTTAAAATAATATATTCTGATGTATATGAATTATTCATTTTTATATATCAAAAATATTTCTATATAAATACACAATCAAAGATTTTCTTATTGTAGAAGCCTGCTCCAACACACCTGTTCCACTTACAACACCACTGTTACCCCTACCACCAACTTTTGCAGTTTCTCTCCAACTGGAAATGTATTTTAGCTGAAAGCAGTGCTGACACATGAGGAAGTGGTTAGACGCTCCCAGGGGAGCCTCAGTTATTTACCTCATTGTATCCAGTGTAATTGCTCTGGAAAGTCTTCGTTCTGAAATTTTATGTCTCTAAGATGGTGACATCAACAGAGACCAGACAATTTTATGAGGATGCTTTTACTCATCTTTGCAGGCAGCAGCTGAGACAGAGCAGCCCAGGGCTGTCCTGGCTGCTTTGGTGACATGAGATCCGAGGGCTTTGCCAGAGCAGGGACAAAAGGGACACATTGCTCCCGAGAGAGGACAAGGGGCCAGATGGGGAGGCAGCCCCCTCCGTGCAAGGATTCTTGCAAAGCCACCTGGATGCCACAGGGCTGTGCAGGACTGGGCAAGGGGCAGGGGGGTCACTCTGCAGGGAGCACGGGATATATTGCATTTGGCTTGGTCCAGCAGTGCCCTTGCAGCTGTGACCCCTGAAGGAGAAACATGTTTTTGCCCAGATAGCGCTGCCCTTCCCTTGGGCACTGGCACAACCACAGCCCCACTTGCACCCAGGTCCCACAACTTCCTCCACATAGAAGGAGGATCCTGTTTCCCACTGAGCATCCCCAACAGGGCACCCAGGGGCTGCCACAACAACACACACCTCCCCAAAAATTATTTATCTGGTAGATAAAAGTACCTCTGTGGTACCAGCATGGAACAGGAGGACATCAGCAACGACTGCAGGAAAGAGCATAGTCCTGCTAGGATACAAGAGCCTGCACCAAGAGCTGCAAGCTCTCCCCACCCAGGAGAGGTTTGTGAAGGTGGGCAGACCCTCAGCTGGTGTGCATCAGCCCTTTACCCACCTTCCTTCTAACTCCCTCAGCCCAAAGCAGCCAGGGCCAAACCCTGCTCACCTGTGGATGCTGCAAAGCCATGGGGCACCAAGTGGCCCCATACACCCCATGCACGATGCATGTGGCTGACAAGGGACAAGTGAACAGCGGGGTGCACACACAGGCTGCCCCAGGGACCCCAACAGACAGACAGCATCAACAAAATAAACTTTCCCAGGACCCTCTTCCCCCAGCACACCTTCCTAATACCGAGCAGATTGGGGTAAAAACAGCTCCTTTCACACAAGACCCCACGTCCCTGGGGAGTCACTGCTACTAGAGCACTAGAAAGATGGAGGACCACATACTGTTTGTCTTTTATTGTAGCAGAGAGAAGAATAACAGACACAAGAGGTATTTTGCATAACTTAACAGAACATAACATGTCTCCACTCTTCATGGATCAGTGGGCAAAATCATTTCCTACACACGGCTATTTTTTTGTGCTAACGGTTTGGTGTATTGATAAAATCATGGGTTTCCTCTAATAAGCTGTAACAGTTGATTTGAAATCCAAAGCCCAGGCTTGGGGGGCTCCTTTGATGTTTAACACAGCTCTCATGGCCCGTGGGGAGGGTGAGTGCTGGGTTCCTGCAGCGCTCCCGGGAGGGATTTTCACAGCCAAGGTCTGGCTGGGGATGCCGAACAGCTCCATGGCTCTCCCTGCCCGTACCACATCCCGGCTGCTCTTCCCTGGCACAGCTGGAGAGGTGACCCAAAACGAGGGGGAAGCGGGCAGCACCGGCAGCCTCAGTCCAGGGCCAGCGAGGGGATCTTGCAGACAAAAGGGAAGGATCTGCCACAGGCGTTGTCGTTCCAAGAGCGCAGTGCTATGTCCCGAAAAAACAAGGCATTAGCCAAAAAAGGCATGAGGAGGTAAATATGCAGCACCCTCAGGACTGGGACCTCCTGCTGTTGCAGGAGGCTTTTCCTGGATGTGCTCCCATTTAGATTGCTCCCAGCCATGCCCCCATCCAGCATCCTCATCCCCATCCTGGGGATGCTGATGGGAGCACCTGGCCCTGGCTCGAACACTGGAGCAGGAAGGCAGCTACAAATGCAGCCCTGTACCACACAAAATATCTCCAGGTCGCAGGTGGATGGGGTGTTTAGGTGTGACCACAAGATCTGGATACATCTGACTAGTCTCACTGGCAATGAGGATATGAGGTGAGCACAAGCAGTGTCTTCCCCACTTCAGCGAGATGCCCCTGGACAAAGTGAGGGAGGGAAAACTGGCAAACCAAGGGGGTGTTTCCATGGGCTGCACATGTTGGGGGAAATCAGAAAGTTTGACTTTTGGCTAAATTCAGTAATTCTTCAAAGTGGGTAGTGCTCCCCTCCTGCAACTGCTATGGGAGAGGGAGATGGGCTGGGAGCAGAGGGAAAGTGAGTGTGTGTGTGTGTATGTACACAGTGAAAGAGAAAACACATCCCTTCTCTGCAAAGGAAAAAGAAAATAATAATAAAAAATTAAAATGCAAATCCCCAGCCTGCCAGCAACCTCTTTAGAAAAGCACAAGCTACAGTGGATTGAATTTATTGACATGCAAATAAGAGTTAAGGTGCCCTGGCGGCCTGGCACGGCACTCACCGCTGCTGTGCCTGTACCAGATCTGCACACAGTCCTCCTCCTCCGGGATGGAGTGGATCCCATCGTCAGGCTGGCTGCCGTCCCAGTAGTGGTAGTCGTAGGAGGAGCCGTCTGTCCACTCAAAGTGACCCTCCTGGAGTGGGACGAGCAGAGAACAGCAACGATTGCAGAGCTGCGTTTGCAGATCCCATGCAGATCCTGTCCCCGTCCCCATCCCTGGTGCCACACAGCCCGGGGACACAGGACTGAGATGAGGATGACCCGGGGACACAGGGCTGAGACTGTCACCACTCAGCAAAGGCCAAACAGCCCGTTTGAGTTGTACAGCTGAAAACTTACCCTGGAAAGCCCCAGCATTCGCAGCATTCGCACCGGGGGAAGCCCAGAAATTAAACTCATATATTTTTTACCACACCCACCCAATTCTATGTTCCTTTTTCTTTTCCATTCCTTTCCCAATATCTACAAAAAAATTTGCTGGCATGAGACTGTTCTCCTGACAGTCTCAATTTTTCTGTTACATATTAGACTATATATTTCCAATGTGTCAGCTTTGAAAAGTCGCAGAGTATCACAAGAAAGCAATGAAACTTGGTGATTTTTGAAACTGGAGATGGTTTCAGTTTATTGGCTCTTCTTGGACCAGCAGTACAATACCCTTTCTACTAATCAATTAATAAAATATGATGTGAAAAATTAATAATTATTCATCTATTCATTCTAGTAACACTTTTGAAAGCAGACTGGAGAGGATGAAATGACGACTTTGCCTCTTGCGCTGCACAACAGACCCTACGCCACCACTCGATTAATGGGGCTATAGGGTGAAGAAGAAAACCAAGTGGCTTTCCAGGGGGAAAACACAGGGAAGTGAATTTTTAAAAGCGATTTCCTGCGTGATTTCGGGGAGCTCTCACCTGCCGCAGGTCATTGAGCCCCGTCCAGATGTCGGTGGGGATGCCCGGCACACGGCTGTTCACTAGGTCGTACACAAAGACGTTTTCTTCCCAGCTGGCAAAACAGAGCAATACGGAGTCGCTGAGGGGGTATGGCAGGCAAATGGTCAGGCATGTCCCTCAGGAGTCACCCTGTGGCATGGCCAAATGGGTCCCCCTCTTCTAATTGCTGTTGATTGCTTTCCCAGGTCTGTGCAAGAGGGACGTAGTGTAGGCGGGAGGTGTGTGGTGTAGAGCTGAGGGAGAGGGAGCAGGGGAAAAAGCCTGTGTAATCACATTATATTTCTAACCCTTTTTCAAGAGTAAAAAATGCAGTTTTGGGGAACTTTGGGAATGCTACATCAGTTTTCCTGCCAAAAAAGGCAAGTTTTATATTGCCTTTGTGTGCCCAGTGCATCAGACCTGCTGTGGTTGCTGCCGCAGAGGGATGTTTAGGCTGGGACAGAAACCTGCACCTGGCACAGAGGCTGCACTGTGGGAATGGGACTTGGTCCCCATCTTCCTTCTTCCCCAGGCTGTGCCAGGGTGGGACGACAGTATCTGTGCTCCTCACCTGTGGATGGAGGCCAGCTTGGCTGATCTGATGCCAATGGAGAACTCGGCGCAATAGAGGTCAGCTTCAGCCCAGGTTTTGTTGATGGGGAAGTACCGGTAGCAATGGCCTTCATACTCCGTCCAGAAGAGAGGGCAGGAGTAGGCATGGACGGGCTCGGGCATGGCTGGGGGCAGAGCAGAGGACATCCAGCACTGAGGACGAAGTGACACAGCCAAGATGGCAGTGCCCAGCCCTGTTTCCCCCCTCAACCAGGCGAATAATCACCAAACACTTGCATGGAAAAAACAGCTGCTGCAGAAACCATGCAAAAGTTTGCAAAGGCCAGTTTTGCAAAAGTCAAAATAAATTTAGCAAAAACCACGGGTTTCTTGGGTTTAGCATCTGTCTAAATCAGGAGGGACATGTCAAGCCAGTTTGACATCATTTTAGGAAGATGGTGCTTAAAATAAAGGCGCTGACTTGTGCTATACCAGGGGAGCTGAGATAAGGGCTCCTCTCGCCCCTGTCAGGCACTGCCAGAGCCACTACATTGGGACAGGAGGTGACAGCCAGGGGCTGTAGGGTCAGGGCCACTCTCTGCCCTTTTGCCCCCACCTCCTCCCTCCGAGCAAACCCCCTCGCTGTCCCCCCTGTCCCCAGGCCTGGATGTGGCCGTGCACGTTCGCACACGTTGGATTTTGGCCCCATAAATGGCCGGCCGAGGCCTGTGCCGCCGGCTGTGGTGCCAGCCTATCTGCCTCCCGACGCCAGATAAGAGCTGGGGCCCCAGGGCTGCTCCTCTTCCCTCGCCACTTTTCAGCACAGCGGGGAAGTTACCCCGAAAGAGGCCATTTTGGGGGTAGGATGCATTTCTGGAGCCTTCGCAGTCATCGCTGTGTAAACACCGCAGCAGCGTTAACCCTTCCCTCCAACCTCATCCACGTCACACTCCCCCCATCACACGTGGGGAGGATGCAGCACGTATGCACCATACACCACACAACACAACCACGCATACAACCCCCAAATCTTGTGGTACATACACTTAACTCTCTTAGTCACTGGGTTTTGAGCCTTAGTGAATTGTCAACTCGCCCAGAAACAGTTCCCACATCCCTGTGGGGTCCTGCCAGAGCAAGTGGGGAGGTGGGCAGGGCAGGGAGAGCAGGGGGTTGTGGCAGACATCAGATGCCATGAAGCTATCCAAGCAGGTAAGAGGCTCAAGGCCAGAGGAGGTCAGGGTGGTCCCTGACCCATGGTCTCCGGTATCAAGGGGCTGGGGGGGAACAGCTTTCCCCGAGGGTGACAAAACCTCGCGGGACATGGGAGGCAGCAAGGGCAGCACCACCGTGGGGAAAAGGAGAGGTGAAGTGAATTCCAAACAGATTCGGGAGCGTTTGTGGAGCCTAATCCTTCCCTGCCCCAGCAACTTGGGGTGACAATTTTGTATTTCATCAGCTCTTTCCACATACGGATCTCTGAGAGTTTTGCAAACACTGGCCAGTCAGCCTCCAGGTCCCTCCTGTCACACACCCCTCACAGGGAACGAGAGCAACAGCTTTACAGGAGGGTGACCAAACCACAGCCAGCTCAGTGGCAATGCAGGGTTCAGCTCTCTGTTTCATACCCAGCCATCCTTACGTTGGGAAAAACTTCAGAATAGCCTTAAAAAAATTGCAAATTGTTGCTATTGTAGCAATTGTAGCAGAAGGACCAGGAATACAGAAAGCTGATGGGCTTTCCTGCTAGCCAAGCCCTTCTCCCTGCGTGGCACCAGCCCTGTCCCCAACAAAAGCGAAGCAGAGCAAGGGCAGAGAGTCAAACCCATGGGACAAGGCTTCGACTTCACCACCAGGTCGCAGATCTGGTATGTGCCCCCCCATTCAGGACAGGACTGGGATCTGGTTTCAGCTCACGCTGACTCCAGGTTGTTGCTCCCTCCAGCCAAGGGCACCCCAGGGGTTTGGGGCAGATGGGCACTGGTGGCTTCCCCAGCAACTGGGATTTTATTATAGAAGCTGTGAAGCACCTTAACAAACTCTTCACCTCTAGCTGCATGGTGGCAAAATTCACAGGACTAACCCAGCAGCATCCCCAGCAAATGGGCCCCTTCGTTCCTGAGTGCTAATTGCAGCAGGCGTCCCAGTGCCCTGTCTCCAAGCCATGTCTGCCGGCGCCCCGATCGCCCAGGAAAATCACCCTGGTTTTGTCCAGAGCAGCCAAAACCAAGTCAGAGATGGAGACAGTCCTTCTTTGTTATTCCATACTGCTTCCCATTAGGTAGCATTAATTTGATGAGCTTCAGCGAACCAGAGGTGCCTGAAGGAATTTAAGGTTAAGCATACCAAAAAGGAAAATATGGGAGGTCAGCGTTTAATTAGCATCTTTTCTGTTAGGTCAGGATCAGAGGCTTGGCAGTCCCTTTGGAGAAGAACTCTTGCTCCCAGTTTTACATGCAGGAACAACTGGGGGTGCTGCTTTTATCTGAGGTCTTTGTGGGCTATTTTTAGCAGAAAGGCTATAAGAAATTGGATGTATGTTTGTAAGTATATGAGCTCACTCATAGCCCTATAGGAGAACCTCATAACCCAAGCCAGCAGCTGCTGATGGTATTTTGATCTAAAAAGGGTCAAGGGAAGTATTTTGGGGTTATTGAGACCAGATCCTCACTTTTAAGCACCCTGGCAAAACATCACCCCCCACTGCATCAGCTTCTCTGCACAGGGCAGAGGCAGCACAGCCACTGCCCACGGGACAGGGACTCCTGCCAACCCCAAGTTATGTCATCTGTTTGTCCCCAAATACCTGGTCAAAAATTATGGCAAGAATCCTTCCTCTTTTTGCTTATTTACAGTGCAGGAGTTATAAGGTCAGGGCTATGTTTTAACACAGCACCAGCAAAATAAATGTCCAGATTTGGTTGACAATAAAATTTGTATCAGGCAGATGTTACTAACTCAGAAAAGCTGGAAAACAAGAATTTTGAGTCAGAAAAAATTTTGCACTGCCTGGATTTGTTTCTGTGCCAACAAAACTGGTGCCTTTTTATTTATGTACTAGCTGAGACCTACTGCAGAACCTCCAGGAAAATCACTTGTCAAAATCTTGCAGAAGCTGGCACTAATCTGCCAAAAGTTTCACTTCCCCAAGTGGCCACTTTCCAACTGGGAATAATTAACTGAGAAAACCCCAGCCAGTTCCATGAGGTTTTTTTTTTTTTATTCCAGGATGCTACTGCCCACGGACTCAGGCGGTGAAGAGCAAGTTTTTTCCTGACCAGCTTCATCCCAAGGTGCAATGATGCCTCACCTCCAGCAACACGCAGATTTGAGGTACAAAGTTTGGGCTAGGGCAAGGTTGGAAAGAGGTGCCCGTGCAAGGAAGACTCCTGCGGGAACTGCAGTTCCACCAAAGGGCTTTGGACAGCAGATCAGATCAGGTCAGCGCTGGTAACAGATGCTCTTCTTGCTGCAGAGCATTGAAGAGCTCCATTTCATCAACAGCTGATGACTCACCAAAAAGCTTAGAGACATTAGGAGACACCTCACTGAAAGGCATAGTCTTGAAAGACCCCTCCTTGGCATATCCATAAGCTAATGCTGCTGTCTGACCTGAAAAAGTAAGTGAACCTCTTCAGCTCTTGGCAAGCAGCAGGGTTTGGAGGGTGTCCATCAATGCCCAAGAGGTTTGTCTGAAGTTGATGCCAATGGAGAAGAGCCGAGGAGATCCCCAGCATGTGCAAAGCTGGGTTCTTCCCAGGGCAGAGCTGCCAGCAGAGCCACTCCGCTGGTATCAGAGGGCTGTGATGCCAGGAGTGAGGGCTGGTAAGTGTTCCCCAGCCAGCAGTCAGGACTGGGGCTCAGGACAAGCATCCTGGTGCTCAACAACATAGAGTCACCTCTTACCAGCTTGGGGCAATGAGAAAGATCAGAGCAGCATGCCTTTACCCTGCCTCAGATCACCCATGGCTTTAAAAGCATGTCCTTAAGCCCTGACACCACAGTCATTACGGACAAACAATGTCACCTTCCTGTGATGTGCAATATTTGCCTTTCATTAACAGATGAAAAAGTCTCATGCTTAGCACTCACCTTCAAAAAAAGCAGAGGACCGGAGGGTTTTCAGTCTGTGTGTCTGTGGGACATATGGAGCTGGAGGGGATGGTATCCACTGGTGGACATAAAGCTCATTTAATAACTGGGCAGTATTTTACACACTCTGATGGGGTTTTTAAAGCACATTACAAACTTCCAAGTAAAATTTCAAACACCAGTTAAAGCACGTTGGAAGGGACATCCCTTCCCAAGAAGTCTTTGCTTTTCTAAGTCCTGAGACAAAAACCAACCTGATTTTGCAGCTTCAAATCTTCTGCCACATACATTTGGAGTTGTGAGGCTACGGCAGACGCCAGCAGCAGCCCTCCTGCAGCCGGCACTAACAGATAGGAGTTATCTTGCAGGGTTTTTTTTTTCCTCCTTAATTAGTTTTGGCGAAGCTCCCACAGAGTAGGTGTCTGGCAGGAAAGCTGGGCTTGGACCCTTTTTCTCATGAACTCACTGAACAGGAGGAGCCGTGAAAAGCAGTGAAAGGAGTCTCTTTCTGCTTACATTCCCATACAAATCAGAGCAGCGACTCCTTCTCGCACCAGCCCCATGAAAAAGTTTGCAAGGACTTAAGTGACATAAAGCAGCCGCCATCACCAACAGCTCAGAAGATAAAAGGGAGAGGGAGGGGAATAAAGGGGAATCACTAACTTGTGGCCACTTTTCACATGCAGTATGAATAAATAAATGGGGGGCCACCGTGGCCCCCCCGCCTCCCGCCTGTCCTGCCAGGCTGTGTGGCTGCAGTGCTCCACAGCTCAAGCGTGTGCCTCTGGGCACTTATTTCTGCCCCCTGCCCCTGCCATCCACACCGGACCCACCGGAGGGATGGCTGAAGGTCCACGGCATGGTGCCACAATGAAAGGTCAGCCTTACACACAGAAACAAAGCCAGAGCAGAGACAGCTTCAACATCCCGGGAGAGAGAGACTGGGGCTGCTCTTGGCACATCCCCCCAAACGAAGAAGAGAGTTGATTTTGAGGAAAATCAGAGATTTCTGAAGCAGCCAGAGAAAGGGAAAAGCCAGCTGCTGACCCTGCAGGAGGTCCACACTCTCCTCTCCCTGCTAAAGCCCCTGCAGTTTAAGGTTACTTTTACCCCAAGTTGCAATCAAATGCTTTTCACTCACCTTGGCTGATCTTTATGTTTGTCTGGGGGAAAGCCTGGGCAGCGAACACCGCCGTGGAGAGGAGCGCACACACGTCCCAGCCGGTGCCCATCGCCAGGGAGGGAGGACGGGGCGCTCCCCCGGCTCTGCGGGCAGCCGGTGGCTGGGGTCACTGCTCGGTCCGGGACCTCCCGGCTGTGCCACGGAGGCTGCCGGCGCGGAGGTGGATATAGGCACTGTGCTGCTCCCTCCCCCAAAAGCAGCGGCTCTCCCATCCCAGCGACACACGCCTCCCCACCCCGCCGGCTGAGCCCAGGCACGCTCGTTGCATCCCACCCCAAGGGACCTGTGCCCAGACCTTTGCCCAGGGCCTGGCTCGGGGAGGGGGTGCATGTCTCCTCCCAGGGAGCCTTGTGACACAATGAAAGCTTCAAGTGAGCAGGAAAACTTATCTACCCCCTCCAGTTGCTCTCTGAGACACTATTTTGTATCCCCAATTAGCACTGCCCAACTGCCCTGTGCCAGCTGCCTTGCCCCGCAGGGATGCTGGCAGACCTTGGACCTTGGGGTGCCTGAAAAACGTGCCTCTTTTGCCTGCTGTGCAAGGGCAGCAGCCCCTCAAACATGGGGCAGTTAGCAGCTGGGAGGCAAGGGCTGTGCTGACACAGCCCCCACGGTGGCGTGGGCACCCCGGGAAGGGCACCCTGGGAAGGGCACCCCAGGAAAGGCTGGCTGCAGCTGGGGGAGCAGGTGGAGAGGGTCCCCAGGGCTGCAGGGGAGCTCTGTCTTGTTCCAGGCTTTGTGCAGCCTGTAACTGGGGTTTAACCCATTACTGCCCCATTCAGTGCTTTACCCAGGCAGAGGCAATGCTTTGACACACTAAAACAACCTGGAAGAGCCACCAGCTGTGCCAGGGGGTCCAAGGCTGTTTCAGGAACTCAGGCGATGCCCATCTGCTGGGTCCATGCAGTCCTGTAATAACAGAAAATCTTCAGCATCAGGCAGCAGTCAATATCATTAACGGTCAATATTATCTAGCACATCTCCTTCCTGTAGTCAAAATCTTTTTGGACATACACTTCAGACTTTGAAAAATATTATATAAAGTCCTTTCCCAGCTGTTGCCCTGGTAGGGAAACAGTATAGGCATAAATGCCATGATATTTTTGTGGTCCTGCTCCACTTCTAATTTATGCCTTGAATCAGCATTGAATGAACTGCTTGGGAACAAAGCCAATGCTATTCCCTTTTTATTTTTAGCTACAGATTAAAATCTTCAGTGTTTTCTGGGACTTCGGTTGGGATGACCCCTGATTTTATAGGCAAGACCCAGATAGAAACAATTTGGGGTGACAGCTTTCAATATAGCAAAGTATCCAGACTTACTCCAGAGACAGTAGCTCATTTGATCAATTTTCATATATTGGTTTCTTTATATTAAATAAAACCTTTTAAGAAAACTCCCCTTCCCCTTTCATTTGCAGTTCCATACATTGGTCTGAAACTACATGGCTCAAGGTAAAGTCTATCGCTATATCAGACCACTAAAAATGAAGGAATTCAAGAGTATTAGAAGCCAAGGCATGCCTTCTCCCTTCTTAACGGTGCGCCAGCCCCAGATAAAGCCAGAGTTACAAGCAATTATCAGCAAACTATGGAACAAAACTCTTGGAGCATATTAATCTGCTCCCAAAGCGCAAAAGTTTATGCTTAAAGAGAGAGCAGAGATCTGGAATAATTTTAATCCTGTTTCTAACGACAGACCTGCCACAGCAGCATCCCCCCAGCGCAGGCAGGAGCACCCAGCCCCCCACGCTGCCCCCCACGCCAGCGGCTCCGTGCCCACACGGCAGCTGGGCACCAGCTTTGCTCCCAGCACTGGGGAAGCACTCGCACGTCGTGCACGCAGAGCCGGCTGGAGCTGCAGCTGCACTTGGGGTTACCTTCCCATTTCACAAAGCACGAGATGTGCTTCACCTGTGGGATGCAGCCCCAGAAACTCAGCCATCACTCCTTTATTCGCTCCTTCTGCTCCCCTCCCTCCCCGGGCTGTTTTCTGATTGTCTTCTAGGTCAGTAGCTCCTCAGTGTCCTTCGATCCTGCTTTTGTTGACCTTTCCTCAGGGTTCCCTCACCAGTTTTTGACAGTGTATGTACATGACCACCCTGTCTCTGGCAAACAGAGATGGCATGGATCCAAGAACAGACTCATGGGCAAGAGTGCCTTGTGTTAACATTTCACCCCCAGTGCTGGACCAAAGCTCATAGCAGGTCTCAGGTCAGCTTCAGTGGATGCCCAGAGCTCATGCTGCTTCCACGTGGATGAATGTTAACGTTGATGGCAGCAACTGCTGAAACCACAGCCCCTCATCTGAGCCTTTTCAAGTTATGGGAGGAGACTGGCCTCCTACCACGTGTGTTTGCCCAGGACACTCTGTGGGCTCCCTCTCCACTGTAATTTATTGATGAGACAAACCAGGAGGAAGCCAGAGAACAGAGGGACACTCTGTCCCTCACTGTGGGACAGAAGAGGAATTTTACCTTACAGAGAGGCAGGTTAGAATTGAAACCCACCGTCCACAACACGCTCAGAAAGCAGATGCCCATGGAGAGCCCTGCGGCAACCGCTGGCCCCATGGCTTTGTGCCTACAAACCTACACCAGCTGTGCTGCAGGGCAGCAGGGAGCTACCTGCAGAGATCAGTAAAAAGTAAAAGCACTCATCAGGAGACCGGGTGTATGACCACCCCAGGGGTAAGCTCCTACCCATGTTCACCCCCAGCCACAGCAACTGAGCAACAGTTTGGTAACAAGGTCCCTGGGGCCTTTTTTGCTGTCCTCTATCTGAGGCCCTGCAATGCTCGCTCCAGGAGCAGGGTGTCTGTCCCTCTCCCCCAGCTGCTGAGAGGTGGCTTCTGAATGAAGAGAGGAGACAACATCTCTGTAGCCTCCTCGTGTGCTTTGCATTCCCTCCTCCACGATGGCAGGGTCACTGTATGGGACTTGCCTGTTGCGTGGAGAACATGCACAGGGATGCTCAGAAGGGAATTAAACACCCACAACACAACACAGAACAGGTCCCAGACTGAAGGTGTGTCACAGAGATGCAGATATCAGAGTTACAACATGGACCTTCACACTAGAGTGCAAATACCCTAGATTGCAGCAAGGACTATTGATCGACAAGACAAACCAGGAGGAAGCCAGAGAACAGAGATTTGCTATCGAGCCTTTTCAAGTTATGGGAGGAGACTGGCCTGGTGACTGGTGTTTGCCCAGGACACCCTGTGGGCTCCCTCTCCACTGTAATTTATTGATGAGACAAACCAGGAGGAAGCCAGAGAACAGAGATTTGCTATCGACCTCACTGTGGGACAGAAGAGGAATTTTACCTTACAGAGAGGCAGGTTAGAATTGAAACCCACCGTCCACAACACGCTCAGAAAGCAGATGCCCATGGAGAGCCCTGCGGCAACCGCTGGCCCCATGGCTTTGTGCCTACAAACCTACACCAGCTGTGCTGCAGGGCAGCAGGGAGCTACCTGCAGAGATCAGTAAAAAGTAAAAGCACTCATCAGGAGACCGGGTGTATGACCACCCCAGGGGTAAGCTCCTACCCATGTTCACCCCCAGCCACAGCAACTGAGCAACAGTTTGGTAACAAGGTCCCTGGGGCCTTTTTTGCTGTCCTCTATCTGAGGCCCTGCAATGCTCGCTCCAGGAGCAGGGTGTCTGTCCCTCTCCCCCAGCTGCTGAGAGGTGGCTTCTGAATGAAGAGAGGAGACAACATCTCTGTAGCCTCCTCGTGTGCTTTGCATTCCCTCCTCCACGATGGCAGGGTCACTGTATGGGACTTGCCTGTTGCGTGGAGAACATGCACAGGGATGCTCAGAAGGGAATTAAACACCCACAACACAACACAGAACAGGTCCCAGACTGAAGGTGTGTCACAGAGATGCAGATATCAGAGTTACAACATGGACCTTCACACTAGAGTGCAAATACCCTAGATTGCAGCAAGGACTATTGATCGACATTTACTCAAACAATCTTTTTTTTTTTTTTAATACTCACCTGTCCCAAATTGTAGTAGCCAAACAACAAATGGAGGTGAAATGGATACATACATGTATTGTTTTCTTTTTTAAAAAAAGATAAGAAGCACAGGAGGTAATGGGAGTTTATTCTGGTCAGCATTTGATGAACAGAGGGGAGGGAGATGGCTGCTGCCTGCCCTACCATGTGGCAGCTCCGGACGGGCATCACTCTGACCTCCAGCTTCAGAGCAGCCACAAGTGAAGGCAAAGCTTCCTGAAGCACCCAGCCCCGAGTCCCTGCCCCAAAGACCTCTATTTTGCTCAAGGCAACTCTCCAGTGAAACGGGACTTTGCTCTGAGCCAGGGCAGGTGGAGAGCACATAGACTTTCTCCTCTTCCAAGCAGCTGATGGGGACCCTGGGGACAGGCATGGCTGTGGGAAGGCTCTGCACCAGGGGGTGAATGGAGGGGGAGTGGGCCATGGGCACAGGCCACTGTGGGGGCCACAAACTACTGCCCAGCCATTTCACAGATGACTGAGGCAGCAGGATATGGCCACCCTGGAGCCCTGCCCCACCTGCTCTGCTTGGTCACAGCAGCACTGATACAGTGGCAGAGCCGACCCATCAGTAACACCCCGAGGCTTCCCAGCCCAACACAGCTAAACGTGGCTGGAGACACAACTGATCCTTCCTTCTCCAAAATGAAGACATGGAAAGGCAAGTCATGAGCCTGGCCCAGGTCTCTTCAGGGTGATGTCCTCCTGGTTTGATTTCTTGAACGGGCTGTAGGAAAGACACAGATTTTTATGCAGTCTCACTGCTGATAAATAGAGCAATAAAAAGTGATAATGATTTGAGGCCCACTCCTGCAAAAAGCGAAGACCCAGAGCCCAGTGCAGAGATTTGTCCGACCTGCAGCACGTTGCATGTCTTCTGGATGGGGAGCACGTATGACCAGACCAACACATTCGGCTTGCTCTCCCGACCGACCTCCATCAGCAGGTCCCCAGTTTCTATGAAATTACTCCTGGTTCATCTGCAGAGAGTAACAAGGGGGTAAACGCCAACATTTTGGCTTTCTTTGTGCCATAAACATAACTGATGGAACTCAACACAAAGCTGAACTCTGCTACCAAGTATCACCCCAGTCTACATGGCACAATT